CAGACTAAGCACCTGCTTAGGCAAACACAGGGACTGGGGTTCGATCTCTGGTACCACATGCTGTGCCAGCTCCGCCCCTGGGCATGCTGAGCTGGCCAGTGAGTCCTGGCGTGGTGGCGCATACCTATAATCCCAGTGCTGGGGAGGCTGAATACAGGAGGATCACTATGTGTCTGAGCCGCATAGTGAGACCCTGTGCCAAACACACTTAATAAATAAATAAGTAAATAAATAAATAAATGTGCAAGTATCATCTCAAATGTAAGCAACAGGCTTCAAAGCATTTAATGCACTGATGTTCGTACAAGTAGGCCTGGCATACCGGGTCTTGATATTCACTGTTACGTCTATGTGGCCTTGGGAAAGTTGCGCCTTCTTCATGAGCTTTAATGTTCTTTCCAACTTAGTTGCAGCAGCCATCATGCATGTTCTAAGTATTATTATGTAGGATAAGTTAATGCTCAGCAAATGACCTTTGCCATGAAGAATGAAATGGGCTACAAATTTTGTTTGTTGAACATGCAATAGACAACATAATATTTTTTTTCTTTTGTGGAACTGGGGATTGAACTCAGGCCCTTGCGCTTGCCAGGGAAGTGCTTATTCTACTGAGCCATCTCCCCAGCACCTTGACAATATAATATTTATAATTTATTTATGTGTGATAGTAAAAAACTATCCACATACTCACCACAGTGCAGACTCCCTGTACCTAAAGGTATCAACTCAGTTGAATTTTACACTTATTAATCAGTTGTTTTTCCTTATGGCTTTGTGACACATGAGGATATATAGCTGAATGAATTGTTATTTACATTTTACAGTTTTTGGACATTATAAAGGTGGAAATATGTATACATTCTACAGCTTGCTCTTCTCTCTAAATATTGTATGTTGGGTTATTTAGGTGGGTTGTTTTAAATGTAGTTCATTTAGTTTTATTTCTCTATAATCTTTTTTTTTCTGTGAATGTTATATTATTTAATTTATTTAATTATGTTTTATTTTGTATTTTTATGGAAGGGACTACAGGGTGTTCAGGGTCTTACTACTAGATCAGACTCGTAGTGATCCTACTGTTTACAGCCTCTCAAGAGCTGGGATTACAGGCGCACACCTCCACACCCTGTCTCAATCACCATCTCAGCGCCCCCTGGGGCGGGGCCAGCACTGCAGGCCTAAGATTTGAACCCCCAGCCTCTGTGCCTCTTGCAGGCACTTTAATCTGCTGAGCTATTGGGCCAGCCCTTTATTTACTTTATTTTCTAGACAAATGAAACTTTGCCTCTGTGCACATCCTCAGCCACCTTTGTAGAAATAGTCGATGGTGATATGTGAATGACCCAGTTTTGGCGCACTATGTATTTCTCCATTTTTGCTAGATATTTCTATATTGTTCTCCCATGAAAAATGTATACACATTCCCCCTGAGCAACAGTCTCTCCAGTGCTTAATATTTCCCAGCTTTTAAATTCATGCAAGAGTTTAGAATTATATCTCTGTGTTTTTCATTTGCATTCTCCAGATTTTTAATGATCTCTTACACTTAAAAGAAAGTTTACTAAAATGTTGTGGAGAACTGTTCAAATATTTTGTCTATTTTTCTATAGTCTATTTTGTTTTTTAACTTATCTAAATGCACTTATAGATTTGTCTATTATTTTCAGTTCTATTAGTTTTTGAGTCATAGTTTGAATATATTGATAGATGAATAAAAATCTAGCTAGCATTGCTATATGCTCGTGGTAGATGGATCCCTTTTATATTATGAAATGAATTTCTTCATACTTGGTGATATTCTTGCCCTGCACTCTGCATTGATATTAATATAAACACTTTCTTTCTAAATGTTGTTACTATAATATATATATATATATAT